CCTAATGGATATGACAGCATTTTCTTTCACTCTTCTCTAAGGACTAGTGATATTTGACATGTTTTTCTAGTACTTAAATATTACCCTAAAATCGTAGCTTGACTTCTACTGAAAAATGCTGATTAAATTCTAAATCTACAGGCCTAGGGAGTAAGGCCTGGCAATCTATACTTAACCTGTACTCACATGCTTTTAAATGCATTTTTCAATAAACAGTTAAGTGCCTTCATTACCAGTCTTATTCAGTCTTAATTTAGGTATACTCATGTTTACCCATTTCTTGGTCCTTCTGATGAACCTTACCATGAACCAGGCAAGCATGAGAGGCTGGAATCCTCAGTCACCTGATGTGTATGTAAATTCACCGGTAACTGCCATCTGTTTAAGTGACTTCCTAAAATATTTAGCATCGGTTGGTAAATTTGTGACCAGGGTAAGGTTATCTGATTGTGAAGGATGTTACAATTTTCTGTAAACAAAATCAGTGGCCAGTCCAGTGTATGTGTTAAAACTCAAAATTTTCTTCCTGACAGCAATTCGGAACTACGAGTGTAATTCACTGGTACAGTGCCTGCTTATTAGTATGTGTAATCCTTAACACTCAAAAAGAAAAAAAAGCATTCTGGCCGTACCACAGATCCTCTTCCCCAGTAGACATTTCTGGTGCCATCTCCAACTGATGGGTAGTGACAGCATGATACAGAGGATTCTGACTCCTTTCTGGACACGGTGATTAATGATGTCCACCATTAGCTTCCACTACCAGGTGACTGGTCTTAAGTGAAATCACTCTCCCTTGCTGTGACAAGTTAACTTAGGAAAACAGGAGAGATTCATTTTGGCTGTGGTTTCAGATGGCCAGCCACATAGCTGTAGGCTGTTGTTGAGACAGGACCTTCCGGTGGAGTGATGATGGCTGAGCAAAGCTACTCACCTCATGGTAGCCGGAAGCATAGAAAATAGTCTAAGAGGAAGTGTCTGAGACAAGAGGGTATACCTCCCCCACCCTACCCCCAAGCCATTCAACTATAAAGTCATCTCATCAATGGATTAACCCATTGGTGCAGTTAGAACCATTTACCTCAGTAGTGCCACCAGCTGGGGAACTAAGCATTCAACAGGAACCTTTTGGGAGAACTCCTCTTATCTAAGTCATAACATCCACATGATGCCCTCACCAAAATCAACCTTACAACCCACACTAAAATGTGGTCTTACTATTAAGGCTCAACACTGAACCACACAAAAATGGTAATTTTTCCAATTAGCATTTCTAAAATGAGTGGTTCTGTTCCAGTAACAGGTCAAGTTCACATTACTTTGGCCCAAATGAGCAGCTGTACTTGAGCCCCTCTCTCCCTGATCTGACCCATTCACAGTCCAATATCAACTTTGTTTTGCTAACATTAATGGACCGTACAATGAAAACTATGCCCTTTAGTACAACAAGCACCAAAACAGAAAGACAACCAGGCCAACCCCAAGAATGGCCACTGAGCTCTTTTAAAACAATTGAATCAAAAGGATTTTAATTCAGAGAAAAAGATGATTATTTGCAATAAAATTATTCATAACAGTCTGTACTTACTAATGAACTAAATATTTAATGTGTTAAAATTTTATGTTCAACTCAACATTGTCAGTACATAGGAGGAATAGGAACAAAATCTTTAGGCTAAATCCTCATCTGTCCATAACAGTGCAAGCCTGTTAAGGTTTAACATTATCAAATCAAGTATCTTTCATACCATTTGTTTATTCCTTTACAAGCCTTTTTATATTCTTCAGAATTTAGATGAACTAAGAAAATAACACCTATTAAATGGTACTAAAGAAATTGCTTAAAGTTGTGTTAAAGAGAGAAAATGTCTGGGTTGGCAAGACAATGGAAATCTAAACAATAACTACAAATACTTCACAGTCCATTTAACCTTCCTCACACCCTACCACCACAGAACAATAGACCCTTTTACAGAGGAGGAGCCCGGTGGAGGAAGGCTGTTCACAAGTTAGTGGATGCAGAATTCGAGCCAGGCAGTTGAAATCTACAGGGCAGAGTTAGCAGGTAATATAAAACCCAATTTTAAGCAAGTGTTTTGCTATGTATGTAGCTCAGATAGGACTCAAACTTGCTATGTAGCCTTGCCCTTACTTTTGCCTCAACCACTTCTTATAGAACCCATAATGCCAGTATTAGTTGGTATTTTAGACACTATTCACCCAATTAAGGCAGCAGTCACACTAACCTCAAACATGTTAACTTTGATAATTTTTATTTGGATTACTTAGTGACTCTTCCACTCAAGAATCTGAATAAATAAAAATAAAATTTTTAAAAAGTATTGAATGAAAACGATTCTACCATTTAAAATTAATATTAGAGATGTTTTTGAATATAAAGAGAGCTCTTTGCTATTACAGGATGCTAAGCTAACCACAGCTAAAGTTGTTTGCATAGATGTGGGTTTTAAAGTCATATATATATACAATAGAAATCAAAGCAAAAGGAAAAAAGTTTCCTCCAGTGACCATTAACATACTAAATTGGCCAATGACTCAATTCAGTATGACTGATTCAAGTTTGAAAATAAAAAAGTAGGACAGGAATATAGCTCAGTGGCAGAGCTATTACCTACCATGTGTTAGGAGAGCCTAGCAATGCATATAAACATGAGTAGTAAAAAACGAAAGAAGAGTTGCCATCTACACCTACCTCAAAATCTGAAAGAACAAAAGAAGGGGCAAGGACATTAACAGAAATTATTATTATTGTTCAAACACAGCACAAGAAATTGGCTAATGCTACCAAAGTTACATAAATTATGTTTTCCCAAGTATTTTGTTTTTCTCTGAGACAGATCTGTCCACCTCTTCCTCCTCAGCTTCCCCAGCACCACAATTACGGAAACATGCCGCCACTCCTGCCCTTCCAGAGATTACAGTAAATGCTGTGTAGTTGTTTACATAATATACAGTCTTAGTATTTTTAATTAGCATATATAAGTACTTGTACATGCACTTAAAAAACTAGAAAAATAAGTTAAGCCATCTCTGAACTCATGTTAAGATTACAGGTTGCTATTGGGTGTGTCATTCTGAGATTTCAAAACCTATGCAATATGGTTTTTTTGATGCCAGTTGTGGAGCTTGAACTCAGGGCCCAGGCACTGCCCCTGAGCTTCTTTGCTCAAGGCTAAAATTTTACCTCGAGCCACAACTCCGCTTCTGGCTTTTTTGATAGCTCAAAAAATAAAGAGTCTCAGACTATCCTGCCTACGCTACCATCAAACTGCCAATACTCAGGTCTTACCATCCTGAGTAGCTAGCTGGATTACAGGTGTGAACCACTGGCACTGCTGTGTACATATTTTTAATCAAAAACATTAAAATATTAAGACCACAAAAACATAACTTTTGTAAACATATTCAATGTACTAAAGAACAAAGCACACATTTAAACAGATTAAACCTGGATAGAAATTTATGGCTGAAATATTTTTTTCACTCCAAAAATAGCTATGTAAACAGATTATAACCCATTTAAAACATAATGCTGCCAGAAGCCAGTGGCTCATGCTAGGAAGTTGAGACATAAGGATCACAGTTCAAAGCCAGCCCAGACAGAAAAACCATGAGGCTCTTATCTCCAATTAACTTCCTACCAAAAGAATCAGAAGCAAATGTACGATGACTCAAGTGGCAGAGCACTAGCCTTAAATGAAAAAGCTACGGAACAATCACCCAGGCCCTGAGTTCAAATCCTAGTACTGGCAAACATACATACATACAAAATATATTGCTGATATAGAGGAGAGACTAAGCAATCTTCTTTCCTTCAAACAACTACCAAAAGTATACTTCTTAATCCAGACTTGTAGAATTTTTTTTTAAGTCCAAGTTAACTTTTGATTTGCTATGCTTGGGATATCCAATAAATTAAATTAAAAGGTTAAAGAATTAGTATCACACAAAATTATCTCTGGCCATTCAGGCCCCACAATTTCAAATCTTTACCTTCTGCCTAAGGATAGATAATTAGAAAGTTAACTATAGATAGAAGCATAATAGCAACGAACATTTGTTGAACACTTATCAGGTAAAAACTTCAGGTACAAACTTGTACCACACTTAACCTTCAAGATAGCTACCATAATTTGCTCTATATGGCCAAGTCACAAAGCTAGTAAGTGGAGTAGAGACTAGATAGATTGGCATCCTGGAAGTCTGGCTGCAAAGTCATGACTCTTAACCTCTATGCTAAATTAACTTGCCTTTATTGTTTTGAGGGGAAAGTGATCAACATTTTAATTAGTCTGTCTTCTAATTTCCTGGTTAGAATCAAAATGAAGGGCAATGAAAGGGACTCCATATACTCAATCTTGCTGTGTTTCAGAATAAAGCCACCACACTTCAAAATGACACACACTACTGCTTTCTGCTACATAAAATACAGAATGGTTTGGATTTCATCAAATTTAGAGCTAAAGCAGACACATTAAGATTTTTTAATTTGCAGATAATCTTTTAATGAGTTATAAAAGACCAAAAACATTTTTGCAAACTTCCTTTTTCAACAAATGATTTGCCTTAAATTACAAATACTGTATGATGATGCCTTCTTTTGTAAAACCAATAAATACAAGAACAATTTTTAAACATGTGATTTGCCCAAGACATTTGGGGGAGGGAAAAGCCTGATTTTTTTTCAGTACTTATATAAATCAGAATGTGTTTCTTAACTTTTCAAAGAAAAGCCTGCAAGCAGAACTCAATAGAAGAGATAATAATAAGGAGAATGAAAGACCATCTTGTAGCTATTCCACAGAGCTGAAACTGTTCTAATGTTACCTTCCCTTTCTGGAACTTGTATCTTCAGAATATTTCTAATGAACTGATTAGTCAGGGAAAAGAAAATGTACTGAACATAACCTCTTACATAAACAATTATGCATATCAAAAAAATTAACTTTAAAAAGGTACAAAAAAATTGAGAAAAAACCTGAATTACAGAAGTCAAATTTATTTAATGAAAAACTAGAATAAAAACTAGCAAATATACATACACACCAAAACAAAACAAAAACACAGCAGCACTATGTATTGACTCACAAAGGGGGGTAGCAGTGGTCTGAGACCACTCAGATGGCTTGTCAGTTAAAGGAAACACACTCACACACTCACTCACTCACACACACACACACACTCGCGCAAAAAATTTTTCAACAATATAACCAATCTACAACGAACACAAAATCCAGAATTATTTTACACTGCTTCCTTTCTTAATACAAAAGATGCCCATCTTGGGTGTATATATATTTTTTTCAGTGGTTTACTGTTGACTTATTTTTAAATATATTAGTGTTACTACATGCAACTGTTTCCTGTATTTAACAGCCTTTCTTCTTATTTACCTTCATGTGTAGACCTTCCATCTACCAAGAGTTTCAGATTAGCAGGCAGATGGGTGCCTTATTCTCTGTGAAATTAAACACTGGCCAGAAAATGATTGCCATTTCAACACATGGAAATAGTTACATTGATGCCTAAATTGCCATTTTCTGCAAAAAGCTGTGCAATGCTGGTGTCAAAGACTAGGCAGTCGCTATTCATAATGGCTGTTGCAATTCCCTCATGAATAGACCGAGGAGTCGCTTCCCAAGTCAATCGCCGCCTATGACCATTTAGCTCAAGTCGATAAGCAAAATTTTCAGCTTGCTTGCGTGTTCCTATCAGCTGTACAATTGCAAAGAACTGCTGGTGACCGTCGTATTTTTCCTGTTTCTCCAAGACTAACATGAAGTGAAAGCCAAAACAGGACTGCATCATCACCCAGTCAACAGCACCAGGAAGGTTAATGTCTGTAGCAAGGAAAACTATATCCTCTCCTTGTAGGGTTGTAATGGACTTGTGTTGATGCATCAGATGTGGCATCACAGCATCCAAAGAGCCTTGCCATTTACAGGAAGCACCAGGGCACGGGCAGGAATAAGGCCTAAACTCACAGAGCTCCTCATGGTCGGCTTTCTCTGTGTGTGGCAGAGTTATTTCACATCCAGAAGAGGCATATTTACAAGGGAAAAGTACTGAATTGGCCACTTTCTCCATAGCCAAGTTGCGAATGGATCCCAATGGGCCCCGACAAGTTGGACAACATGTGAGTTTGGGGCGACAGTTGCTACAAACAAGATGGCCACTCTGACACTGCAGAATGGGTGGTAACACATAGTCAAAGCAGACGGGACACTCAAAAAGACTCGCCAAGTCATTGTTAGATGCAGTTGTGCCAGTCAGGGCAGGCACCCTCTGGGATGGTGGACACTTGGAGGTACCAGTAGGTAGTGCTGTAGCAGTCTGACGGCTCATTTCTGTAATAAAAAATAAGTGAGTAAATAAAAGAGAAAAATAATTGTAACTTCTTTTTATAAATGTTTACATGCCTAAAATACCTTTAAATGTTCATACAAAATTGTGAACAAAGTAAGAATAGGCAAGTAAAAAGGACTAAACAAAGCATATACAAACAAAACAGATACACTAACTCTGCATTTTATTATTAGGAGCTGGATACTGGATAAGCCTTTTCATGTTCCAGAGCAGTTAAAATCGCACCAATGGAACAAGCAAGCTGACCAAGGGCTAGGTTCAAACCCCAGTTCAAGAGTGGGAGGAAAGATAAGAGGGGGGAGGGAGGTTGATGGGGTCCATTGTATGCATATATGGAAATATCACAGCGAAACATTCCTTTGTACAACTAAGTTGTGCTAATATAAATCTTCTAATTTTCCTTATTAAAAAGTACTAAGAGGGGCTGGGAAGGTGGCTCAGTGGTAGTGTGCTTGCCTTGCATGCATGAGGCCCTGGGTTCTATTCCTCAGCACCACATAAGCAGAAAAAAAAAAGCCGGAAGTGGCGCTGTGGCTCAAGTGGTAGAGCGCTAGCCTTGAGCTGAAGAGCCCAGAGTTCAGGCCCACGATCAGATCCAAAAAAAAAAAAAAAAAGTACTAAGAATCTAGATTAAGAAAGCTAAAGTAGAAATTACCATAAAAAACTAAGAAGATTGAAAAAGGATCTTAAGTACAACAAATTTTAACTGTATTCTGTCCCATTCTCTTCTCCAAAAGGCCTTAATCATTTTTCCAATTCAAAGTCAGCTATCTGTAGCTCAAGAGTCATAAATTCTACGCAGCGCGTATGCCAAAGATCATCAGCATACTGGCTTGATAACTACTATTGTTTTAGGAATGATGTGCAAGGTCAAGGGTATGCTGCCATCCCATAATCCATCTTCATCTGGTGAGTCTCCCCCAAAGCATATTAAGTATTTATTTTTCCTACTAATTAGTGCTCATCTCAAAACTGAAGGGAGATAAGGAAAAGAACATTTTTAAATACAAGTTGGCTAGTTCAATATTCAGAAGCAGGACCTCATTCTACAATATAAATCCAGTACAGAGCGTCAGAAAAGAGTAAAAATAAAACATAAAAAAAATAGAAGAAAGCAATCAGGAGGATAAACACTATTCAGATACACATAACACTGTACTAAAATGAGGAATACAATTAACAGGGATTCATGGCACCTGAAACGTGAAGCAGATTAAGCATTAGGTAAAAATATCACTAGAAGAAACTGATCAATCAACTAACCAGCGAGGCTGAACCAAACAAAACAAGCACCTATTCTCTATAAGATATGATAGGTGATAACCTTGTCCTGGCAGTGACAAAAGATTAAACAGGTTATGATACCCCTAAAAGTGCACTCCCAGTACTTACACAATGCCATCTTTCCACAAAATTAAAACGTCAAATTTAACATTTTCTCTCAGTTATTCATTACTCTGTTTCAAATAACTTAAAAAGTGATGGTAAGAGATGTATAAAGAAAATGTGGCATATACACACTACCAAGTATTATTCAACCATGAGACTGAAATTGTTATTTGTAGGAAAGTGGACAGAACTAAAAATATGTCATGTTAAGCAAAGTAAACCTGACTCAAATAAATACTCAATGTGGCATTTTTTTATCTGTGGAAATTGTGCCTTAAAAAATAGTAATTTAGGGCTGGGAAGGTGGCTCAGTGGTAGAGCGCTTGCCTTGCATGCTTGAGGCCCTGGGTTCGATTCCTCAGCACCACATAAGCAGAAGAAAAAAAAAAGCCAGAAGTGGCGCTGTGGCTCAAATGGTAGAGTGCTAGCCTTGAGCTAAAGAGCTGAGGGACAGCGCCCAGGCCCAGAGAGTTCATGCCCCTCGACTGGACCCCCCCCCCAAAAAAAAGTAGTGATTAATAAAAAAACCAGAAATGAACACTGAGGACTTCTGGAGCAGGGGACTCCTAAGAGGAAGGGAGGGGGGAAGAAAGGATGAGAGGAGGAGAAGACAATATGATCAAAGTACACTGCCTGTAAGTATATATGAAAAAAAAAACACATGAAACCCATTTTAAAGATTACAAGAAAGATATAAATGGGGATACAGTGGAAGGATAAGGGTAATGGAAGAGCCAAGGCCAGTGGCTCACATCTGTAATCCTAGCTACTCAGGAAGTTGTTATCTGAGGATCTTGGTTCAAAGCCAGCCTGGTCAGGAAAGCTACTGAGTTCTGATCTCCAATTAACTACCAAAAAGCTAGAATAGCTCAAATGGTAGAGCACCAGCCAGATCTGGAGTTCAAGCCCTAGGATGAGTGTGGGGGAGGAGAGGAGTAATGGTGAGAAGTAAATATGAAGTATATGTGTATGTGCTGGTTATGAATGTGGCCAGGGATTCAAGTTGTTACCAATGATACTGTAAATGAGGAAAGTGGCTAAAGATGTCCCCTCAAAAAAAATAATAATAATTGCTTAGTTTCAAAGCTCAACAGGCAACAAGTGTTAAAAGAACAGGATTACTGGCAAACAACTGTAATTCCAGCATGCAGGAATCTGAGGCAAGGGGTAAGTGGCCAACCTGGCATACACCATAAGACTCCATCTCCAAAGAGTGTCAGAGGTATTTAGCATACAGCAGTTCTCACAGACATAAACAGACACAGACACACACAGACACAAACACACACACACACACACACAGCATAACAAAATATGAACTCTCACCTAGAGCCTTGTATAATCCAGGAAAACTGACAAAAGAATTCTGTGTAAAGGAGCTCTCCTGAAATCCACCATCGCTGAGTAAATACTTTATACATATATTGATTTATGTCACTCATAAAACAGTGAACTTAGCATTGCAAACACCCTGCCTGTGTGCCTGTGACCCATTCCATGCTGTTCACCTACGTGAACAGAAAGTGGTTCCTTGAAGCTGGGTGCTGGGGCTCATGTCTATAATCCTAGCTATTCAGGAGGCTTAGATCTGAGAACTGGGGTTCAAACACTGCCATGATAGAATCCAAGAGGCTCTTATCTCCAATGAACTAACTGGAGCTGTGGCTCAACTGGTAGAATACCTGCCTTAAGTGAAAAAACACAGGCAATTCAGGTCCTGGTACAGGTATGCATGTGTGCGCACACACATGAGCATACACACACAAAAATTTAAGAGGGTCCTTAAACAAAAAAAGTCTAATCTAAACCAAACCCTTTCAGAATAAACCAAATAGCAATTCACAAAGGACACTCAGGCCTCTGAATAAGAAAAACATTGTTGGGCTGGGAATGTGGCCTAGTAGTAGAGTGCTTGCGGAGCATGCACAATGTCCTGGGTTAGATTCCTCAGTATCACATAAACAGAAAAAGCCAGAAAGGGCACAGTGGCTCAAGAGGTAGAGTGCCAGCCTTGAGCAAAAGACACCCAGGAACAGAACCCTAGCCCTGAATTCAAGCACCAGGACGAGCAAAAAAAAAAAAAAGGTGTAATTCTTGACTACCAAAAGTTATAACATTTATCAAAAATTACTTGGGCTATTTTCCAAAATTTTTAGCAAGTTCAAAGTGTGAACAACAAATAAAATGCTACCAATATTTCTTGTGAATGGAAGTAGCAGGGCTGAAAACTGCTTTAAAAAGAAACAAAAAAAAACCTCTGACAGCTCCAAAGGACACCAGCTCCATCTTAAACCAGAAAAGGGATCCAACCATAAAGCAGTCTTGCAGAAGGAACCAAGAACCACCCAAGTTATGACATAACTTCATTTGATCTAAACAAAGAAAGTACAACAGCTCAACTGAAACATCACTGCCAACCTCAGAAAGGGCTAAGTCGCACAGCAGCCATTCCCAGATTCAGATTCCACAGGTTTTTACAACTATTACATTTTCCAGGAACTTGGTCCTTTAATTTCAGTACCCTTTCTCTTCCTTGTCCTAGCCGCTGGTAAAGTAAGCAAGACTCCCCTCTAGGAGTTCAGAAAGGGGCAGGGCAGGCTTTCCTGTCTTGAGAAGCGAGACAGCTCACGGCTTGGCACAATCTGTGACAGAGGCCTACCTCTCCTAGACACTTAGCTTCCACAGAGCAGAAGGCTCAAAGGCTGTCCGAGGTCAGGCTCCTTTCATGCAGCCACTCCTGAGAAGCAACTGAGTGGAGCAATGAGGCCTCCGATACGCAGGAGGTGGCCACAACTCAGAGGGAGTACAAATTCGCCTGCATCTCCAAAAATGGGAGCAGGGTAAGCTGTCCGCTGTGCCCAAACCCTTCATCAGCCTCCCAAGTTTGCCTGGCTGGGATTCAAGGGCTGGCTAGCCCCCTCCACCCCACCTCCTGCCAAGCGTGTAGGGGGAGAGAGGCAGGGGCTGGAGTACCACAGCACTGGCTGGATGGCTTGCGCACCCACCCCACAGCAATTTGAGCCCAAGTGCCTAAGGCTAAGAAAGCAGGCAAAACCCAAGTGCCTGGCTCACCGCGCCAGGGCGGAGGCTGAGAAGGGCAGGACTGGGGAAAGCAAGGACAGAGTAAGGCTGGGTCAGAGGGATGGTCTGAGCCAGAGGAAAAGGAGGGAAAACTCAGGGCTGGCCTTAGGCCCAGTGAGGGTGAGGCAGACCAGGGCGGCAGGAACTGGCAAGACCCACGCCTCCACCCAGCCCTTGCTGCCCCTGCCCGGAGACACCATGCCTCTAACACATCCACCAGTTCCTTTAGGTAGAACCATGATTTCATAGCTCTCAATCAAAAACCTATACAGGTTGTGGGGAATGTATGGCCAGAGAAGCGTCTTCTCCATGTGGAATACATTTTCCAAGTTAATCCTGTGAACTCTTGCTTTCAGGATGAAAGCATTCTCCCTAATTCAGCCAGTAAGTGCAGTATTCAGCCAGTAAGTGCAGTATTCAAACAGGCGTCAACTACCAATTTCCTCAATGCTCACTCACTCCTCCACGTCTTCCCCACTTGGTGGCAAATTGTCCACACCCCTTTCCTCTG